CTAGGCCAAAAGAAATACCTAACAGTTCTGTTTATTAAGTATTTAGGTCCAGGCAACTTGGTAAATATTTATATCCTAACAACTCAGTAGTCTTTCTGAAAAAAATTATACATGTAAATTTAAAGAAAAAATATTATTTTTATTTTATTCTCAAATAAATACAATTACTAATGGCATGTGTGTATCTTTGGGCACTGCACAACTGCTCAAAACTAGAATCAGACTGATCACTGCCACCCTCATTTCTTTTTTACAGCAACCACTGAAAACCCAGCTTTACAAAGATACGTCATTGCAAAGGACAAAGTTCAGAAAGTTTGAGAAGTTATTGCCATAACTGAAAATACTGTAAAAGTAAATAAACAAAAACGTGACCTCATTCAAGAACAGCACTCAAAGGAATGTACTATGATCCAAAATGGTGAACTACCTTAAGTTACTACTTTTTGTACACGTTTCTTCAGTGCTTGTACATGGTGTTTACTAAATTTTTGTCAACAGGACGACCATGAAAAAGAGTCAAAACAGGAAGGAAACATAATGAAATAACTGCAAAATGTTAAAAAGATTTCAATGACATTTTACTTTTTTATGAATAATAGCTGTTCTAAAATAAAATTTTATGTCTGGCTTTAAACACTAAATTTTCTTTAAGAAAACATTTCTGGAGGAGGATAAAAAGATTTCAATGAATCAGCATCACTGAAAGTGACTTCCTTAACTGATAATATAACTGCAAAATATGCTGTTAAGAGACAAAATTAATTGCTTGGTAACATTTAATTATTATAAATATCTGATATTTAAATCTGCAAACGGTGCGGTTTTCTTGTATGCCAATATATGTAGTAGTTCTGTATTAGACAATATTTGTACTTTTTATTATGAGACACTTATCTTTATAACGGATCTTTACTAAACCAGGACCAAATACTTGATTTTGAAGGTTGCTGATGAAGAATCCAACTGGGTTACAGGACTAAATTTAATGACAGATGAATCAATTTGCAGTAAAATAACAAATTTTATTTTGTGTTCACATTCTGAGGATGTATAGCATTAAGTTACACAGCTTGAAGTAATATTTCTGTGCTAATCTTAATATCCTTTCCGTCTTAAATGAGTTGTCTTGAGCTATGAGCTTTTTATAGATTCTAATGGTACTTTTGGCTCTTGAGCTTAAAGTTTCAGGATCAGCAGGTTTACTACCAAGAAATATAAAAACAATAATTACCTAAATCTGTGAGGCATTGTTGTAAAGAGATTTTAAAGACCTAGATGGCAAGGACCAAGAGTGAAGAAAAAACATGAGGTGTAGCATGGACTGAATTTAGTCAGTTATTGATTTTTTTTTTTTAAATTGCGTTCACTGCGTGAAATGCACCGAATTAAAGAAGATAATAGTGAATATGAGGTACAAACAACTGAATTTACAGGCATTATCAGGAAAACAGTCAATCATTAAATTGCAATGTAGGCCCCAAGGTGAGTGTTTTATTGTATAAATTAATCTCTTAGGCAACGGAATGATTTAGTCAGAACAGACTCATTAGGTACTTAGATTGTCAAATCAACCAGAATTTCTTCATCTTCACAACTAAAGCTATTTCTCAAGGCTAAGACTTACTCTGTCTTTGGACAATTACAAGTGTGTATCTGCACCATGTTTGTGTCTACTCTTGTCTTCTATCAAATTTAAACTCTTTAAGGGCAAGGAAAATGTTCAAGAGAGGTGGTTATAGCTAAGAGTTAAAAGTCAGCCAATAAATATTTATTAAACATTTCCCACGTGACCAAGCACTGGGGATACAGAGAAGGGCAAACCACAGTCCTTGCTCTCCAGGAGCTCACAGTCTATGGAAGGAGACAACATCTAAGCGATTATGTACAAACTACAGCAGTATAAATTGGACATTATTAATAGAGAGAAGGGGCTAGCATTAAAAGGGAATCCAGAAAAGTTTCCTGTAGACAGTGGAATTTTATTTGGGTCTTGAAGAAAGCCAGGAGGCAGAAATGAGGGAGAGAGGGCATTCCAGGGCCAGGGACGGCCACAGAAAATGCCCAGAGCTGAGAGATGGACTGTCTTGTTTAAGGAACAGCAGGGAGGTCATCTGATGACCACTCCCTGCCATTCCTTTTTTTATGCTTGTATATCCTCTTCCTCTCACAAACCTCAATAATATGAAATGCTTGTACATTCTACCCTCTTTTCTACACTAGTGTCTTCCTTTCATTCTCCCTTTTCCTCTTCAAACCCTCAGAACAGAACTCATCCACCCCCAAGACCTTGGGTTTTCTTATGGAATTTCCCTCAATAGCCAATTTCTGAAGTACATTTTCTAGATTTCTCTGGACTAGAGTTAGCATTTCTAAGTCCCAACTCAGCTCTAGTTTTTTTGTTAGAAATGCTTGGAAGTCTTTTTCCCCCTGAGGTCCTTCTCCCCCAGTAGTATTATACTCTATGTTGGAAGGTAAGTGATTCTTGATTGTAAGCCTATTTCCTTTGCCATTGTATCTCAAGAGCAGCTCCTTTAGTTTATGGTAAAAGATGCCAGGATTTGTGTGATCCTCATCAAAGTCCTTGGTACTTGAATTGCTTCTTTTTGGATGCTGGCAATATTTTTGATTGGATGTGGAAGCTCTGGATTTGGCCCTTCACGTTCCTGGGACTCTTTCTTTTCGGGGTTCCTTTGGGGAGGCTCTTGGTGCACTCTTTTACTTTATTATATGGTTCTAACAGATTTAGTCAGTTTTCATTCATGCTTTATTTATATATAGTGTCTAGACTTTTTTTTTAAAACACAGCTTTCAGCAAGTCCAATGATTCTTAAGTTAGTTCCCTTTGATCTGTTTTCCAGTCAGATTATAAGACCTAATATCTTATATTTTCTTTTTTCATTTTCATCTTTTGATTTTGTTCTGATATTTCTTGCTGTCTCATGGAGTCATCTTTTTTTTTTTTGGTTTATTCTAGCTTTCAGTGAATTCATTTTAAGCAACCTGTTTTATTAATCTCCACCACCTCTCCCACAGTTTTTATTTCATTTAAAAAAAAAAACCTCTTCATTTTTCTAAGTATTCATGTATTCCTTCTCAGAAATCCATTTCTTTTTTCCTTTTGAGTCTCTGAATGCAGTCTTTCTGGGGATCTCTAGATTTGCACTGATTTTAGATATTGGTTGGTGTTTTCTCTAATGAACTCATCTCTCCACTCCAGCTTTAGTTCCTGAACTGAGACACTGTAAGTTTAAGGTTCTACCCTCTACTGCTCTTTTGTATGGGGAGGGTGGCACTGCTTTTGTCTTACTCTTCCACTGACTTCCATTGGCTTAGGCTCTCCTGGATCTTTGAGGTTCAGAGGGCTTTATCTTCGGGACCCTTCCTGACACCCATGATCACAGTGTTATGGACTTCAGAGACCCTAGGCTGGGGCTATGTGCTACAGTACCACACTAGTTACTGCCATTCCCAGGGGATTCCTGATGAATCTGACCCTGAGGCCTTCTGATCACTCTCGGATTCTTTCACAGGAGTCTTCCACTCTTGCTGCCTTTGGGTTAGCTTTGCTGGAGGATCCCCATTCCTACTACCTGTGGACTTGTCTGACTTTTTGTGCAGTACCAGAGTAAAAGAAATCACTTAATTATTGGATGTTTTTGATTATTCAGACTGGAAAGAAAGAGTTTGCTTGTGTACATACATACTTAAGAGCTGGGCAGTCTATCTATCATTCAGGAAACCATCTTGGCAAGAACCCATCATAATAACATTCTATTTTTAAAATTATTTTTTTAAATCAGAAAAAAAATCTGTCTTCTCATTCTTCCAACCTACTCCGCAAAATCAAACAAAAAAAGTCCCCAATACTCACAAACCCTATTTCTTCTCCACTCATGGAGCCACTGTCCTAGTTCAATTCTTTATCACTTCTTGCTTATATCATTCCTTATTCCTAATACTTCCTTTCTCCTCTCTGTTCTTCAAACGGTTGGCAAAATAATCTAAGCCCTGGATGGCACAATTTCAGAGCTGGAAGGGACTTTGTTGGCTACTGAGTCCAACCTGTAATCTGAAAAAATATTCCTTCTACCTCACTCCTAACAAATGGTTATCTGGTCTTTGAAGACCTCCATTAAGAGGAGCCTATTCTGCCTCTGACCATCTTAAACTGCCGCATTTTTCTTACATCAAGACTAAATCTGCCCTTTTCCAATCACCACCTTTTGTTTTCAGTTCTCTCCTTGGGGCCCAAGAAGAACAAATCTAGTCTTCCAGTTGATAGCCCTTCAAAAACTCGAAGTTAGCTATCACATGTTCTCCAAGTTTCTCTTCTATTTCTAATTCCTTCACAGATCCGTTGCTAATGTACTTTAGCTAATTCCTCTAGCCTATTAAAATACTAATTTCTTGGCCTAGCATTTAAAGTGAGACATGATCTGGCTCCAAACGAGATTTTCAGATTTCCACACCATTCCTTTTCATATAATCTGTGTTCTAGCCAAACTGGCTTACTAATTGTACTGCCAATTTGGAATTCCATCTCTCTCACGTTTTACCCAGGCTATCCTGTTCCTCCCATCACTGGGGTGCACTCTTTCCTCAACTTTGCCTCTCAGAGATCTTACTTTTCTTCGGGATCACCTTATGAGCCCATTTTTTGATGATACTGCACTGCTCTCTCTCTCTCTCCTCAAATTATCTTGTTTTTACTCATTAAGGTACACGTTATATCCCTTAACAAGATGTGCCACTAGGTTCTCAATGGCAGGGGTACTTTTGTTTTTGCCTCTGTTTTCCTAGCACAACACCGTTATAAATGTTTGTTGAATTTCCTTTCTTGATACATCAATAAACTGGTTGTCTCTATGAGAGATTAATGATTAGGAATTAAGTAAAATCTCAACTCCCCCTCTCCCTCCATTTCAAATTATTAAGCAGATTATCAGCCTTTTCAACTTGTCTCAACTTAAAGCTGTAATGAAAAGTACCGAAATTACCTTTCGGGTTTCAAACTGTGCTTCTTCCTGGCAGCATCCTCTGCAATCAGGATCCAGCTGAGTTAAGCTAAACTGTCCAAGAAGATCACAAGAGCTACAGAGCAAATTGCTGGAGAAACCCAAGTCTCTGCATGCTTCTGATGATAATTCAGATCCCAGTGCAGATATCTGAAAAGACACAGTGAAGACATTCAACCAACAAGTGTTTGCTAAGTGCCTACGATAGGCCAGGCATAATGAAATCCAAGAACGGAACAACCCCTACTCTCAAGGAGCCTACATTCTACACAGGAGGCAGAAGTGGGAGTTGGGGGGAAGGGAAGAGAATGTGTACATACATGAGTAAATACATACAAAATAAACACAAGGTACTTGGAAATGGAGATGGTAGCTGCGTCTTGAAGGAAGGACTCTAAAATAATATGAAAGAAGCATATAGCACTTTCAACTATAACTCCAACTTAAAAAATGAAATCTCAATCTCTCTCTCTCTCTCTCTCCTTAGTACATATAGTCTAGCTATGTAAGCTCTACAAAGTCAGGGACTATGTCTTAGCTAAATTGTGCAGGGTCCAAAGCACCAAGCACAGTGTTCTGTACAAAGCAGGCATTTAATAAATGTTCCTTTTCTGATTATTAATCTCTGCTGAGACAAAAGACAGATGTCTTAAAAGAAAAGTTTGCAATGACTTTTTACAGAATCATATTAAAGTACAGAACCAAAAGTTTTTACATATCATTAGCATATCTAAAATTGCTATATGTTGTAATTCATTTATTCTCTTGAACAAAACTTTAAATGATTTAGGGGGTTCTAGAACACATGAATTTTAACCTAATTCAAAATATATACAAATCAATAAACATTTACTAAGTAACTAGTAAAAGGCCATGCACGGTGCAAGGAGCTGGGGCACATAAACATTCTGTGGAGGGAAACCACTATGTCTACTCATAAATAAATACAAAGTGAACTGTATTTCTTTTCGGGGAGTAGGTACTGCTAGCGGCTGAGGAGGTCAGCAAAGACCTCATGTTGGAGGTGGGACTTAAGCAGAGCTTTGAAGGAAGCTAGAGATTCTAATCAGGGAGGTGAGGAGACAGTATATTCCCAGCATGGAGCACTCCAGTACAGCAGCAATTTTGCCTGTGCAAAGACATGGCAAAAGCAGGGAACAGCAAACCAACCAGCTTGGCTGAAGTTAGGCTGCTAGGTGGAGCCAGAGTGCACAGAGTGCTGGGACTAAAGTCAGGAAGACTCGTCTTCCTGAATATTTGGCCTCAGATGCTTACTAGCTGCATGACCCTGAGCAAGTCACTTAACCCTGTTTGCCTCAGTTTCCTCACCTGTAAAATGAACGAAGAAGAAAACTGCAAACTATTCCAGTATCTTTGTGGAGAAAACCCCCAATGGGGTAGAGAAGAATCAGATATGGCTGAAAAACCACTTAACAAAAGAGTGAGCGAAGGGGGGGTTAAAAATACAACGCCATCATTAAATCATGTAATCTTACTTAGTCTGCAAAGGTACCTTTTAGCTTTCTAAAGTCAATTGTTTTTTTAAAAGACTCGATTTACTGATTATTCCTAGAAAAAGATTAAACAAGTGTTTGAGTTATTCTTTGTTCTTAAGATATTAATGGCATAAACATTAATCCATAAATTACATAATTAATTCCATATTAATTAGTCTGCCTAGGAACCAGAGTTAACTGTTTTCCTGTGCTCATATTTGTCTGGAAGGGGAAAAAACAGTTTTGGATTAAAACACGAACATCATGATTTCTATAGTTTTGTTTTTACAGTTATAAGAACATCCATCCACAAATTGTCCGAGATGATAATTTGATTTTTATAATTCAAATTTGAGGAATCCTAGGAAACAAACCCCCTAAATCACACTGAATACTTCCATTCCTAAAGATTAAGAACACTTAGAATGTACTCTCAGAAAAATAACCACTTCATGGAGCACAAGAGCCCACTTTCTCAAATGTTAACCTTAAGAACCATTACTTTGGGATTTACAGCTATTCACTTCTGCATCTGGGCATTCTACCTTAAAATACAGCACCCTGGAAACCAAAGGGAAGTAAGCTGCAATTTACAGTAATTTCAAGGACCCTAGAAAACCAGAGACACTCTTAGAAAACTACCACTGAAATACAAACTAGCCATTTATCCCTGTAATAACAGTTGCCCAAATTTTAGCTAGTGACAAAGAAGAGAAAGGGTGGAAATCCTGGAGGTTAAGTAATTAATGCTGCTCTTTGGGGGAAAATTTAGCTTTGGACCAATCTTAGGCATCATTTTGATGTTCAGCAGTATTTCACATTTATCTAGCACTTTTGTGCTAGGTATTTTTCAAACACACTTAGGGTAAAAGAATCGTACAGTCTTTAAAATTTTTTGATTACCTAAAACTTGAGAGTACTAGTAGTTTTAGAGATTTCAGTTTTCAAAAAGGAAAACTCAAACTCAATTCTTGCTTTGGAGAGTATCACATTTAGCATTTGTTGACGTGAAATGAATTTTATTTGTGCCACTAAAGACTCTTCAAGACAGATCTTATTTGGTTGTAATTTTACACCTAATAGCATAAATTAATGAGGTCAAATTTGCATGAGTCAATTCAAAGAATTGTTAGGAAGATGTATGGCCCTTTGGTATTAACAAGAAGAAAGATAGGAGAATAAGGAGTATTAGGGGTGACAACCAGGATAAAATTTTAAGACTCATTCACTTTTTTTTTAGAGTCGTAGCGGCTTTACTGGGGACAGACAGAAAGTACCAGGGGATTAGCAGTTGGCATTGGGGCCCTTCTTCTTGCCAAAAGGTAGGCACTACATTGACAAAGCGTCAGTTGTACTGCATCTTCCTCTTAGCACACCCAGTCTTCTTCTTTTCCTGCTTGTCCACCTTGAGAGTCTGACCCCTCACTTTTCCAGCTCAGGCCAAAGGGCCATGGACTTTACCTCCTACCATCCGAGCAGCCACTTCCAGAGTGGCCACAGGCTCCACCCTGCACTGCCCCAAGATGGCTTCATCCTCCAGCGGGCAGCCACCTAGAAGCAGGACCTGGTGCTCGGGAGCAATGCCCTCCAGGGATGCCACATGGGCCCTGACGTGGGCGACGATCTCCTGCCCAGTCACCTCGAGGGTGTGCAGAGCCTGCGTGCAGACAAACAGCTGCATGGCGGCGACTTGGACATGCTAGTCCTGCTTCCACCGTGGCAAAGATGGAGCTCATTCACTTCTTCAAAATGTCATTTAACTAACTTTCTCAAACGGTTCTATAATCACCTACTCCCTAGGATCACATTATTTAGTGCTGGAAGAGACCTGAAAAACAATCTTTAGTTACCTTTAACAGTCCAACTAGTAATTGTCTATGCCGCTGATTTTATAGAGAAACTGAAAGTGCCTTGCCAAGATCCCATATGTATCAAGTTACAAAAGAACGGATATCCCTTGATTCCCCAACCCAGGAAGCTCTATTCCACCGAGCTGCATATTATTCTACCAAAACCACAAGATAAAAATACTATAAGCAAGTTCAGGTTTTATTTCTTTGGGGTGACAGCATACTTTAAAGGGTGGGAAAAAGTAAATATAGGAGGAAGAAAGTTCTCCTTTTTTGTATTTGTGTACATAGTGACCTGATGCTACCAAAAAGCCTTTTAAACCTGAGCACATCAAGGAACCTTGCTGGTATTCATTCCCTCAATACTGAGCTACTCTCTTTCTCTACCTTTAAGAAACACTGCTTAAAACTGTGTTCTACTAAGCACATGGTAGCAGCAGCATTTCAAATGCATAGACTAATCTAAATTTTCTAAATGCCGGGGTTTATTGGAACACAAAAAATAAAACAAAAAAACTTAAGGAGTACAGCACAAACACATTTTGGTAGGCAACACAACCAAGAATTCTTTGGGTAAAGCTGTGTGGCATTCTAAGGCAAAAGACTGGGAAATCAGCAGATATGTTTTAGTCTAGTTAGGCTGGGCCATTAACTTGCCCCATAACTTTGACTAGTCATTAAATTTTTTTTTCCATGTAAAATCCTATTTTCTTTCCTACTATCTCCCCCTTCCCCAAATGGAAAGAGAAAAGTCCCAGTATCCAATATGGATAGTATTGGTCATGCAAAAAACCAAAACAAACAACAAACCAACGTTCTGCACACTGAAGCGATCACCTCTTCTTGAGTCTTCTTGAATCGTGGTTGGGCATTACATTGATCTGAACTCTTAAGTCTTTCACAGCTGTCTGTCTTGGCAATGTTGTTACTGTATAAATTGTTCTGCTGGTTTTCCAGATCCTCTGAAACCATCCCTTTCAACCATTTCTTACAGCACAAGAACATGCCACAACAGTCCTCTACCACAAAGTGGCCATTCCTTAACTGATGGGCATCTTCAGTTCTCTGACAGCACAAAAAGAGCTGTTCTAAGGGTTGTGGACACAAGGCCTTTCTACTCTTTGTTGGGTCTCTTTGGGGCAGGTCAGTTCAACTCCTTGAGCCTGGGCTTCAGTGCACAAAATGAGAGGGAGAGAACTAAGGGTCTGTCCTGCTCCCAAATTGTATAAGCTGAAGGTTCTTTTAGGTACAGCCATGGAGGCCTCCCTCTAGACCTTGTCAACCATGAATGTCAGGTCAAACAGGTCAAGTCCCTCCTGGGAATGCTTTCTGCTAAGTAGCAGAAGACTAGCTGCCTTATCTCAGGGAGAATGAACATGTTTCTGATTACATGACCAAACGGAAAACATGGTTAAGTTAGTCCAATTTAACCCTGTAATTTTGGGTGAAATGTTAAGAGATGTGTACTCACTTTTCAACGTGCAAAAGTTGAGTGTGGCAGAGCGGAAAGAGGGTGAAACTTCTTACAAAGCTACTTGAGTTTTAACCCTGACTCCCGTACAGAAGGGGGAAAAGAATGCCTGTGCTACCTCTTTCACAGAGTTGTGAGGAAAGCACTTTGCAATGCTCTTCGTAGACATATACTGCAAGGAGGTCAAAGATGGAAGGAAAGGTCCCATATGGATAAATAGCATTTGTAGCAGCACTTGGGGGGAGGGAGGCAGCAAAGGACTAAAAGGAAACAGGCACCTAATAGACTGGCTAATTGGTTTATTAATATCATGGAATCTTATTAGGTTGTAAGAAACATGAATTTAGAGAAACTTGGGCAGATGAAGAGTGAAGGTGAAGAACCTGGAGAAAACACAAAACGACCACCACCACGTTTCAGATAGATGTTCTGATCAATCATAACTTCAGAGGACAACAGTAATACATGTCCTCTGCTTTAAAACTGAAAGGCAGCAGACTACAGGTGTGGAATGAGATACACATTTTCAGATGTGGCCATGTTGCTTTATTTTACTTAAATGTACACTCAATGTTACAAGGGAGAGTTCTACTGGGGCAGAGGAGGGGTGGCGTAAGAGTCACTGGGAAGCAGCAGTGATGTTAAAGAAAGAACCCCAGGAAGTCAGTCTGAAGAAAGTGTTTTTGGAATCATTAAGTTCAAGACAGGTGTGAGCCACAGATATTATTATTTCTACACAACTTTAAATTCAGGTGGTCACCATTCATGCGTAATCTTTTAAAATGACTGTTTTTAAGGAGTCAAGCACTTATTCCAGCATTTGTAATTGTTTAAAATCAGAAATTACAGCTGCAGTCTGCACATCTGGAATGGCAAGGCAAGTTCCAAGAAGAGAACAGAAAGGGAATTAATTAAAATAAAGCCAAAGGACAGAAGGAGCTGGCAGGGAGAGATTAGGAAGGTTAGAAGAACTGGCATATTTAGGTCTCTCCTCTAGGAACAAGGAAAGGCAGCATCTTGCTGGGCCTCGGAGAGGCTGCCTTAGAATTCTGGCGCTGCCACTGGCCCCTTGCACCACTCTGGATGCGTTCTTTAACGTTTCTGGGATTCAGCTTCCTCATTCCTAAAATGAGGGACTGGACTGAATACAACACAACCAATCAGTAAGTGCTGCTAAGTATTAGGGAGACAGAAAGTTCAGGCTGTGAGAGCTGTTCCCAACACACAAAACATGTCAACTCTTGCACTCCTGTTCTCGTGCATTTGGCTCCCAAAGGCTGGCACGCCCTCCTAACTTCTGCCTGTATAGCTGAGGTGCCACCTCCTGAAGCCTTTCTGATTCCCCACGTTATTAGCACTCAAAATTACTTCCTTTTTTGGTTTATATCTGTCTATGCTATATTCCTTCGTAGACCGGAGGGGCAAGGATTATTTTCTTTTAAGCCCCAGCACCTGGCACTGCATGTGGCACACACTAGGCACTTAATAAACGTTTATTCAATGATACTTCCCCAATCAATACACTGCAGCAGCTCATTATTACCTTCAGGATCAAAGACGAAATACTCTATTTGGGGTTCAAACCATAGCCATCCCCCATCTTTTCCAATCTTCTTACACGTTCCTATGCAATCTGTGATACGAGACACTCCATCTCCCGACCCTAGGCGTTGTCACTGGCTGTGACCCTTGCCCGGAATGCCGTCACTTGAAGTTCCTTGAAGTTCCAATTAAAATCCTACCTTCTTCACGAAGCCCTTTAGTAATCTCTCTATAGGCGATTTCTAATTTACCCTTTCTATATCCTACTGGTACGTGTTTTCTCATAGCCTCTCCGGTCAGAGGGTAAGCCCCCTGAGGGCAGAGACAGTTTCCTCCTCCCCCTTTTTTATCACTAACGCTTAGCACACGGGGACTGACACACAGTAGGTGACTCAAAGTGCTCGTGGACTAATCGTAGTAGGCGCTCGATAAATGCTTGCTGACTCAACGAGCTTAGAGCTGGGCCCTGATATCCGTGAGAAGGGAGACGGAGCCCAGGGGAGGCGGCCAAAAACGAGGCCTGGCCGAGGCTGAGGAGGGAGGGCGGCCGGGCGGGGCCGGGCCCCGACAGCAGCCACGTAGCCCTCCAGCCGCGGCCGCTTCCAGGGCCGCCCTCCCGCCCTCCTCAGGAGCGGCTCCCGAGGCTCGTCCTGGGCCCCCAGGCCCTCGCTCCGAGTCCGGGGCAGCTACGGAGGCGCCCAGCACTCACCCCTTGCAGCACGGACGCCAGCAGCAGCCGCAGCCCGAATGCCGCAGCACATCCCCGCTGCCCGCTCGCCGCCATCGCCCCCGTCACGCTCGGGTCCTGACGTAGCCCGAAGACCCCCCCCTCAGCTGGGGTGACTAGCGCTAAGCCTGACTCCCTGGGGCGTTAGCTTTCCGCTCGCCGCGCCCAGCGGCCCTCCCCCGAGCCACCTGATGGGATGGAGAATTCCAGGGGGCGGCCACCTATAATATCAAGGGTGAGAGAGGGTCTTTTTGATTTGCTCTCCTTCCCCCCACAGTCAGGCACATTGTTGGGACCCCTATAAATCTGTTTCTTTGGAGAGCCCCCTCAGTTTCATTCATGGCTTTTCGTTCAGAGTCCTAAAACACTCGTTCCTTCCTCCAGCTTCGTCCCGCCTCGCTCTCTCGCCGCGTTTAAGCCAATCACCTGCTGCGTTAATTTTAATGGCAGCTGAACTAACCAACCCTAATCCCGAGCGAAAGAGCACTGCAACCACGGTGGCAGAGGCGGGGTCCAATAGTGGTCGCGGTGGGGTTGGGAAGGGAAGGGGAGTGTTTGCTGAGGCCGGGAGGCGGGGCTGCTGAGCGGCGTGCGTGAATGCGTATTAGGGAGGGGGCGGGCCCAAGCGGGGGGCGGGGTCGAGGGCGGCGCAGTCGCAGCCTCGGTGCTGGAGCGGGGCTCTGGGAGGGAGGCAGGCAGTGGAGGAAGAAGGGAGGCGGGTGGGCAGTGCGAGCGAGCGAGCGAGCTGGGAAGGTGTCGGGCTCGGTCCGGCTTCGGGGAAGCAAGAGCCCGAGTGCGGCTGAGCGCGGGGGCCTGCTGGTCGGCGGCAGCCGCGGCGGAGGCTCAGGAGGAGCAGCGGGCGCAGGCGGCGTTGGCGTTGGTGCCTGGGGGCGGGGGTGGGTGGTGGGAGGGAGGGAAGGCAGGAAGAAGTGGGGGGTCGGAGGCAGCGGTGGCCGCCGCTCTCACCGCTGCGGCGCTTCGCTGCTGCCCGCCCGCGCCCGCTCCCGCTCCCGCTCCGCCGGCCCCGGGGCTCCGGCTCGCTCCTCCAGGCGCCTCGCGCCCGCGCCCCCCGGCCCCCGGGGCCTCACTTCCCGCCCCCCGCGGTATGTCGTGATCCCGAGCGGCGGCGGCGGCGGCGGCGGCGGCGGCGGTTTCATGGGGCTTCTCAGGATTATGATGCCGCCCAAGTTGCAGCTGCTGGCGGTGGTGGCCTTCGCCGTGGCGATGCTTTTTCTGGAGAACCAGATACAGAAGCTGGAGGAGTCCCGCTCCAAGCTAGGTGAGGGGAGGGGGCGCTCCTGGGGCTGGAGCGGGGATGCCTTCTGTCACCCCGGGGGGCGGGGGGAGGCGGATGCCCTGGGCTGGAGGAGCCTTGGGGGTGGTGGAGGGCGGACACACGCGTGGGACCTGGGCTTCCCCGGCTCAAGCTCGGAGCGCACGGCTGCAAGCCGGCGAAATTGACCCGAGTCAGTTTCCCTGTGGGCTGGGAGCAGGCGAGGGGGAAAGGATGTGGGGAAGAGCGAGCCCGAAGCGCTGCGGATCCGGGGAGCAGTGTCCTGAGACCTAGGGATTGAGATGCTTGCAAGTGGCTTTCGAATGGGATGGGGGCCGTGGCCGACTTGGACATATGTAATGCTTTCTGCTGGATTTTTGAAGGGAAAAGAAGGTTATGCCCCCGAAGTGACTTACTCGATTGAGTCCAGTTGCTTGAGAACGCAAGTGTAGTGGTGTTGGGGGGTGATTAAGAAGTTGAGAGAATGAGAATAGATACTATTATTAAGCCCTTACTACGAGCCAGACGCTGCACTAAACTCTGGGAATACAAATACACGCAGAAAGAAAGATATCCCCTTACCCTCATGGAGCTTACATTCTGATGGGGGAAGACAGTCCATAAAATGGATGAAACGGGGCCTGAGGTACGTGTAAAAGTCGAGAGAATCAGGAGCAGAATTGGGTTTGAAGTGAACGTAGGACGTATTAGTGGGCTGTGATGAAAGAACAGAAAAATGTTGGGGAGATACTTTGGAGAAACTCAAGATAGCCTTATTGTTGAATTTTCAGCAATATTCTGGTTTGTAAATTTGCATTTTAAAAAAATGATGGAGGCACTGATTAGGTAAATAAAAACACGTGAAGCTGTTTTAGCCTTGTGTTAACTATTTTAATGCATGCTCCTTCCCCTTAAAAAAAAAGGATTGGGAAACTACATTACTTGGGATAAAGAACCAAAAGGAAACTCTTAAAAAAAATGAAGATACATGTATAGAAATTCATAGGGACAGGACTTGTGATTTCATTAGTATAGGAAACTTTTGAATGTAGAAAATCCCTCGGCCACTGGAAGTCAGGACCTTCTCTGCAGCTTGGGGTCTTAGAGAGCTGCCTAGAACACTGAGACATTTTTAGTGACTGGATGTGCTAATTTTTTAAAAGTGGGGTTTGAATCCAAGGTCTTCCTGATTCTAGGCTTGCTTTGTATCCACCATGCCAAGCTGCCTATTAGGGTCTGTTTATTGTTATTATAGTACATTGAATGTTAGATTAGAGTGAAGAACTTTCTCATTTGAATTTAGTCATTTGCAAATAATAGGCCTTTAGTATTTGAATTGAATTAAGCTGACTCCAGTTTTGAAGTACATTTTGTAGAAAGCTACAGAAAGTTTTAAAGATCAATGTAATAGCAACGTTGAATACTAGAATGTACGAGTGACAAGAGGTGTACTTAGAAACTAGAGAAAGAGCTGAAACACATTTCTTTCTTTGTCCCCTGATTTCCTGTATATGAATGCAGTTGATGGGGACACTGACACCATTTAATTTGATTTCATCAGGATGTTGATCTAAATGACTATAAGAGGCTGAGAATCTCATGCCCAAAAGGCTGAGACTTTCTCATGCCCACTCACCCCTACGGGCGTCTCTTGGCGTACATGTTTTATCACTAATAAATTTTTCCTCTGGCTGAAAAAAAATAAATGACTATAAGAGAAAATATTTTCAATGTTTTGGTTTAAATCAGTTTAATCACCACCTAGGTTCAAAACCTCAGTGCAGTCCTCAACTCCTCACCCTTTTTTGTCTCAAATATGCAATACTCAGTTGCCACATCCTGGCTTTTCTACCTCCATATCTCACATCCATCTTCTCTGCCCTCACATACAACTGCTCCCCAGTTTAAGCCCTTGTCCCTCCTGCCTAACCTCTTGATTTGGTCTCCTTGCCTAAAGTTTCACCCCTCTCTAATTCATCCTCCACTTAGTTGCCAGGGTGACCTATGTCTTTCTCCTCAATAAATGCCAGAAGTTGCAATTCCCTATTACCAGTGGGTCAGATATAAACTCCTTTGACATTTCAAGTCCTTCACAACGTGGTCCTGCCTACCTTTTCATCAGTGTTACTCTTCATACCCACTTTGGTTCAGCCAAACTGGCTTAGAGAAGTATGGAGGGGGTATATTCCAAGAGTGAGGAACAGCGAGAAGACAGATAGGAGATAAAATGTTGCATGTGAGGTGTGAGTAATTTTGCTTCTTTTTTATCCATTAGGATGGCCCCATCTGCTTCAATCAATGGACCTTTCCCTTCTTTTTCTTGCTTAGAACATGCCTGACCGTTTCCTTTAATACTTAGCTGAAATTGGGGTGCCTACGTGGCGCAGTGGATAGAGCTCAAGCCTTAAAGTCAGGAAGATCTGAGTTCAAATGTGGCCTCAAATACTTGACACTTACTAGCTGAGTGACCCTGGACAAGTTACTTAACCCCAATTGCCTCACCAATAAGAAAAAAGAAAAAAAAGACTTAGCTAAAACTACCCTCCCTCCCATCTTTCAGCTACTAATGCCAAGGTCCCCAAATTACCTTCTGTTTTGTACATGTACATATTTGTGCATCTTGTCTACCCTCCATAGATTGAAAACTTCTTGAGGGCAGCCACTATTTCAATTTTATCTTTCTATCCCTAGCACAGTGTCCATAGAAGGTACTTAATAAATGCTTGTTGATTGAATATCATTTTATCTTTATAGTTTATAGTTTTAGTGTAAAACTATATAGTTTTATTTTTATAGTTTATAGGAGGCAACTTGGCTTAGTTATGAGTGTTGGATTTCGAAGCATAATGGATTTGAGTTCTAATCCTGTGTCAGATGCTATCTGAGACTCTCCCAGTTAGTCAGCCTCTCTCAGCAGCAGCTACCTCATCTGTGTAATTGGGATCATAATGGCATCTACTTCAGGATTATTTTGAGGATCAAAAGAGATACGTGTTTTATAGATCTTAAAAGAGCTTCGCAAATGTACTCTATTACTATTAATTTGCCTCATTCAGCTTTAATGAACAAGAAGTATTTGCAAGGTTTACTTACGAATAATTAAAATAAGATGCTTAGTATGCCACATACAAACACTGCAAAGTTGAAGCCCTCCAAAGTGTTAATAAAACACAGTAGAAGAATAGTTACTCAACTTTTAATTTTTCCTTTCTTGCCTGAAGAAGGTAAGGTCTTTAATAACACTTGAGTTGAGTGTGGTTTCCAGAGTGGTTTTAAAGGTGGAAAAGACTAACTATAGTGACTTCCTGACTGCCATCCTTTGTGACTTACTATTTATCTGTAAAGTGGGTATGTTTGTTTTCCTTGGGTGTATGATACCGTCTTGTTGTTCAGGAAGTATTATGAAGCCACCATCATCTATGTGGAGATTTTTTTTTTTTAGAAAGAAAGTATATTCATCAGTCTCACCATGAGTAGTAGCCAGAGATGACAATGAATACTCTTCAGAAGTGCTGCAGTAGTGGACATGAGAGCCTTCAAGGATAAACTGAAGGATGTAATAATTTCAGCGTGCCATGGACATAGCTCAGAAAGCACATTACCTTTCAGCTTGTGTTTTTCTTGAAATCTTCAAATGCTTTAAGCTCTATTAAATTATTGTCCTTGAAGGGATCTGCAAATGTGGAACCTTGGGCCTTTTTTGAGCTGATATATTAGTTAATAGGCCTATTAATAGACCTATTAAAATTTTGTTTTCTACAAGTTTTTTTTTTAAATTATGTGGTGCCAGTAGTTAATGTGTCTGTGTTACAATAAGCATTAGACATTGCACTAGGAAAATCCAGCTCCTGGCATGAAAGGCTTAATGTAATGTCGTATAAGCTGAAAGAATTCTGTTAGTGAAGTATCTGCTTTTTTTTATGTATGTGTAATGGACATGATTCAGTTCCATGTTGAGAGCACTAAAATGTACAACTTGTCCAGACTAGAGAGCAGGAGTTCATGTTTTTCTCCAAGTCCAAAAATCACCTCCCTCTCAAAACTGACAAAGCCCTTTTTTCATTC